ACTAGTTTTTGTTTCAGGTTGGGACCTCCTTTCCATGCAACTTTCAGGTTGAGGTGACTAGCCCCAATGATACCCTCAATCCTGTGGCTGAGTGCATCATCAATGAATGGAAGCGCAAGATAGACGGGGGCAGAGCCCGATCTAGTCGGCCTTAGGCGGTTATCACGTTGGGCTTCGTGTTGGAGCCTGCTAACTAAGTGGGGCGGGTAGCCGTTCTTTGTGAATAGGTCATGGATGAGTTTAAGGCTACGGGCTCGTGGTAGACCAGGGGAAGAGATTTTGATAGCACGTAACGTTTGTGAGCGGACGGCGTTTTTCTTAGTCGACATTGGCAGAGCTGAAAGGTAGTGAATTATCACTGGTGATGCCATCGGTTTAATGTATAGCTCACTGGAGTATGCGCCTGACTCAGAGATCGATATTTTTGTGTCCAGGAACGCCAATACTCCAGTGTCACCGGTGTGTTCTATGGTGAACTTGATGGTGAGATGGACCGTGTTTAGGAAATTGAAGTAGTCGAAGAGGGCGTCCCTACCATGCGTCCAGACTCCGAACACGTCGTCGATATACCGTACGTACAGTGAGGGCTGTAGACGACTAGCTGACAGAAACATGGACTCTAAGGCGTTCATAAAGACTATCGCTAGCGGGGGGGGCCACCCTGCTGCCCATCGCTATGCCTTGCGTCTGTCTGAAGTAGTTCTGACCAAAGCGAACGAAATTGTTGGTCAAACAGTGCTCGAGTAGCTTACGCATGCTGGACAGCTCCAGACCAAATGTTTCCACTCGGTCTACGTGGTGTTGTAGGAGTGTCAGCGTGGCATCAATGGCCTCATTTATAGGGATGTTACCGTATAGGTTAACGACATCGACACTGAACAGTATTGTGCCCCGTTCAAACCCGTGCGGATACTTAGCTGAGATTGTCTCCAGGAATTGTGGCGTGTCTTTCAAATGCGCTGGCACATGCGGCAGGAGTTCGACGACGTGTTCGGAGTCTGGACGCATGGTAGGGACGCCCTCTTCGACTACTTCAATTTCCTAAACACGGTCCATCCCACCATCAAGTTCACCATAGAACACACCGGTGACACTGGAGTATTGGCGTTCCTGGACACAAAAATATCGATCTCTGAGTCAGGCGCATACCCCAGTGAGCTATACATTAAACCGATGGCATCACCAGTGATAATTCACTACCTTTCAGCTCTGCCAATGTCGACTAAGAAAAACGCCGTCCGCTCACAAACGTTACGTGCTATCAAAATCTCTTCCCCTGGTCTACCACGAGCCCGTAGCCTTAAACTCATCCATGACCTATTCACAAAGAACGGCTACCCGCCCCACTTAGTTAGCAGGCTCCAACACGAAGCCCAACGTGATAACCGCCTAAGGCCGACTAGATCGGGCTCTGCCCCCGTCTATCTTGCGCTTCCATTCATTGATGATGCACTCAGCCACAGGATTGAGGGTATCATTGGGGCTAGTCACCTCAACCTGAAAGTTGCATGGAAAGGAGGTCCCAACCTGAAACAAAAACTAGTGCGGGCGGCCTACCAACCAGCACCCTGCCCAGGTGGGGGCAGGAAGTGTCCATGCTGTGAGGCAGGGTTGCGTGGGAGATGTCATGAAAAGAATGTGGTGTACCAGATGGAATGTCAACTGTGCGCACAAGGCGAGTCTGTGTATGTCGGTGAAACACGCCGATCTGTCAGGCTTAGATATAATGAACACATGAGAGATGCAAAAAACAACAAACTAGACACCCCTTTTGGCCTTCACCAAACGAAACACTCTGTGCAACTGGACTGCTCAAACGTCTCAATCAAGATTCTGCATGTGTCAAAAGACGGCCCAGATAGAAAAATTTGGGAATCCATTTTTATTCGCGAACTTCAACCCACTCTTAACACGCAAACCTCGTCTTGGCCTATCATCTGAGTGGTCATTATATCTAAACTGACTGACCGTGGAAACTTGTGTGCGCGGGTGTGCGCCGTGCGGTTGTGCTGTTGTACACTTCTGTTACCGTATGCATGCATGTACTTACCTCATATATGCTTATCTCCATATTTTTAATGTTGGTCGGGGGGTCGGGACCCATTATTGATGATGTACCCACGATATATACTATCTCCGCTGAACGTATGACTCATGTTTTCGACATGACTATCTTGTTCTGCACTTCAAGATAAATCTTTTATGTCTCTGTAAGTTTTGCATAGATGCGTTTTTAAAGAGTAGCTGGGAAGTGCGTGTGTGATTTCTGCATGTTCGTACCAATTCGAATTTTCTGTTCCATGCAAGTTTGTGACGAAAGTGATCTAAATAATACATAACGGTTGATAAAGGCGCAAAGCCGAAAGCTCCCGAAACTGTATTTTGTCTTTTTGAAATTTTATATCTTTTGGCTAATATGAGAGTAAGGTTAATATCTCTTATTATAATTGACATTTCGACTTATCGACATTTCGGCAAATCGCATTTCGGCAAATCGCATTTCGGCAAATTTACATTTCGACAAATTAGCATTTCCGCAAAAAGGCATGCCGGCAAATGGCATTTCAACTTTAAGCATTTCGACTTTTTGAAACGTCGGCAAAAAGCACATCGGCAAAATGACATTCGGCGAAATGCATTCGGCAAAATGACATTCGGCAAATCGCCTTTCGGCATTTTGTCCGGACACCGATGCAGCTCTTCAATTTTGTAATTCAGTGTTTCCAGTATACGACTCTGTAAGCGTGTTTTCTTAACCCTAGAACGCCTAGGGGGGGGGGTTGTATCAACCCCCCCCCCCCTGAGGTTTTTTCGAAGTGCACGCTAAACGGCTTGTCGTAGCGGGCTGAAATTTTCAATACCCTCTGGGGCAACCTTTGCGCATCTTTTGCCGAAAAAAAATTGATCGGGTCATGTCAGGTCACGGAGTTATGACGTCATAAGAGGTACAGCCTCCGGCCGGATTTTCACAAACTGAGTGCCAACGCCCGAGGTTTCCTGCCGGTGGTACGGACATCGGTTGATGGATCGTAATGAAACTTCCCATGCATGTTGGGGCAAGTATTGGCTATCATATGGTATAAGAAATTTGACCGGGTCAGGTCAGGTCACGGAGCTATGACGTCACAAGAGGAACAGCGTCCGGTACTATTTTTGAAAAGCGCCCGAACCACTATTTTGCTAATTCTTGTCACCTCAATGGGAATATGCAGCAATATTAGCTTCTATAGGGAGCAAATGGACCTCCCAAATCCAAAAATACAATCAGATTTCAAAAATTTAAATTTTGATTTTTCGAATTTCTGCCGCCGACTGTGACCTTGCCGACTTCCGGCGCTCCCAACGCGCCATTTTTAGAGCTAGGGAAACGAAATACATACCAAACGATAGAGAATTGATCAAGGAACACGATAGTGAAGGTTTCAAGTCGATATCTCCCACCGTTTTGCCGCAATCGCCGCCGAAAGTTGAAAAAAGTCTATTAATCCGAAAATTTGACCTTTGACCGGTCAAAAGTAGGTCAAATGTTGACCTAGGACCAAAAAATATACCACCAATCGCGAGATCTCGTTGAGAGCAATCCGTTGGTTTTTTCCGCTAAGCTCTACGACCTTCCGTTTCGAAACGCCAGGGGGGTTGTAACAACCCCCCCCCCTGGTCGTTCGTGTTATGAGAAATGGCCTGGTCGTGCGAGGGTTAATGTTGTAAGAACAAAATCGGCAATAGAATGTATTTATCATTGGTCATAACTCACAATAGTAACTCAGACAGGTGATGTTCTAGGTTTAGCGTTGAAGTTTGGCATAAATTTTCGGTTCCATTTTGGATAAGGTATTTTGGTTCCTTTTCTTATCCATATATTATGTTAATTTTGAGAACATTGTTAGAAATGGTTTTAGCCATAGAAGTTGTTTATGATAGCGTTTCGCCATTTATCGGTTGTAAGTTATGAGTCTTTACTCCTTAATTTCATTGCATCACAAAAATGGTCTAATTCTGTCGCTCACCGACGCACTACATTCTAGGTGTCAATCCGCGATACTCACTTTTGCGATGCGGATTTTCATGTCCAGTGCGAGCGAGATTCATTTCTGGGCTCTGGCCCAGCGGTGCCTGTCTTCCGTGAATCCTGGTCTCCATCGTTAGCTAATTGGGGCTTATGTAAGGGTGATTGGAGCTCGAGCGGCCTGAAGAGCTGCTTCGGGCGGCTCGTTACCTGTCAGTCGGCGGCGGGTCGGGGCGCGGCAGTCGGCGGCGGGTCGGTCCTTGGCCGCCGGACCTGCGGCGGCATCCGGACGCGACCTGGTACGGCAGCGCTGCCCAACACGCGCAGCGCCACTCGGTGCGACAGGGCGCCGAGCGGCTCCTGGTCAAACACCCGCCGTCTTATTCATTTGTCGCTACAGATCCATCATCCAGGCGCTTTATTTCCGTGTCTTTTAAAAGGAACAGACTTCCTTCCTAGTATGCTATCTCAACAAACTTTTCAAAACTACATCTGTTGCGTACGTGGTTCCTTGAAGTTGAAGACATTCTAAATGTGTCCAATTGTACATGCTGCGATAGATCTTAATGATGTTCACCGTGCCAAAGTGTTTGCTGAATGAAACGTTTGTAGCGATGTCCTTACTGACGTAGATCAATATTTTTTTTTTCTCTCGTGCTGTATCATCACATATAACTTTGCAAAGCGTTATTAATCCAAGCAAATGCATGGGTAAGGGAACTTGAACCAGGAACAAGGAATGAAGAAGGATGTGTTAACTTGTAATTTACTGGCTGTTATAATCATCTGAAGCGGTAAGTGCAAACTCAGTGCTGAAAATAAGAAGACGATGAGAAACACCGAAAGTTTGAGCAAGAAAGCAAGAAAATGTTCAATGCCTAACTTTCTCTGCTGCACATACAAAACATGCATATCCAACAATCTACTTTCCAGTTATAAGTCTTGTGTTAATCTGCCCGCCCTGCTGAAGCGTTATGGCCGCCGCCTGTTGCAGCGGCCAAGTCCCGCGGTCCGAAGCGGAAGATGCCGGAGCAGTCTGCCGGCTGGAAGAAGTCGCGCAGTGACGGCGCCGTGCAGAAGCTGCACGGCTACCCGCTGGACCACCCGTTCAACAAGGACGGCTACCGGTACATCCTCACCGAGCCGGACCCGCACGCCCCGTTCAGGTGAGCTCGCACCCGCACGCCTTTTACATACAGGTGGGCCCGCGGACCCGCTGGCACCCTTCAGGTGAGTCTCCGGGCGCGTGTTCAGGTGAGCTGCGGGGACGCATCTTGTGCTCAGTCACCCTTCCGCTGAGCGGCCGGCTCGGGGGGGGGGGGACGATGCTTCTTTACAACGTGTCTCTTGTTATTGTCGTTTGAAAATGGACTGAAAAAGTCCTATTACTTGCTGTTGGGATGTTGGGCTGCGCAGGTTATGTTTTCGGAACTTATTGACTGAGGTTTACTCTGATATACCACGGCCGGGGATCCTTCTTTTTCACGCAAACTCCTTGTAAGCAGTCTCCTTGTGCAAGGATGTCGAAACATCGAATATGCCTTGTTAGCTACTACTTATAATACCAAGTTACCGGTTAAGTTGCGTTGAAACAATACGCGCGGTATCTGCTACAACAGCTGCGTTCTATCTTGTCATATCCAATATGTCATATCCAGCTGCTGATATTTTATATTTATTCTATTTAATTGTATCATATTCATGTGCCGGGAAAGTGGAATAGACTAAGCTTTTTATTGTTGGGGGACTTGGGAAGCTTTTCTTTCTCATTTCAGGTTATGCCCCATATTTGTCGTATTGATGTGGCATATCCATTTGCTCTGACATTCTTGTTAATAGACTTTGGGTCCCGACTGTGGTATTCTACCGGCATTCAAAGGCAACAGCGAAGCAAGTTAGATTATTTATGTTATAATATATGCGGATGCCGGACGATGAGGCGCGCAGCCATGTAGTCGTGGCTCAATGACTGAAATTCGAACCCATATTGTGCCGATGTGAAAGCCTTTTTCATAAGTTCTGATTCCGTATTCAGATATGCAAGCGTGTGCTCTATGTTCATGATGATATTTCAGGATAAAAGCAAAAGTGCAACTGAAATTGTGATTGGTCGTACGAAAAAAGTGATGGAAAATAACAGATCGGTCAGGTTTATGGGACTGTGGACAGCGCCGATAAATGAAGGAAACGAAACAGGCTTAATGCGAACTCTTATTGGCGAACATGGCTGCTCAAAAGCGGCGAATATAAACCATTTTTTGGTTAAAATAAACCTTTCGTGATGATATTTACTATGTGCAGTGTAACGACGCATATTACGTCAGATGTTGTTCATGTAGTGGTACCGCGAATTCTTTGCAATATTCAATTTCAGCTCCGAACTGAAATCCAAACACTTCACCGTGTACTTTGCGCGGAAACCTAATAAAAATGGCTGTTTGGCGGTCTTATTGTTTGCTCAGTGAGTACTGCTGTGTTGGCCGGGGTCCGTCAGTGGCGATTCCAGTATAATATGGCTGGCTTTATCGTGCCCCATTGCTGACAGCGGGTGCCGTTTTCAGACAGGAGTTTGACGAGTCGTCGGACACGGGTGGCCGGCCGATCCCGGGCTGGCTGCACAGGGCTCAGTGTCCACCAGCCGTGCTGCTGGCTCTCCACGACAGGTGCGTGTGTGTCGTGCCTGGCGGGCGGCCGTGCTGTGTGTACGTATATTTGCTAGTCTGACTGTCCTCAGCCCTGGGGAGTGATGCCGTCTTGTTGTTGTTGTTGTTGTCGGTCCCCGCAGCCGCGGTGTAGCCTAGTGGCTCTGGAGGGCCCTGAAGGCGGCCACCAGGGCCGCCACCGCATCGCTGCGCCGAACCTCCTCTGGGGTCGGCAGTATGTTGCCGATGGCCTGGGTCCGGAGGCGGACCCCCATCATCCCCGGGCATGTCAGGAGAATGTGTCTCGGTGTGTCGGCTGCCAGTGATGCCGTCTCGGTGTGTTGTTGCTCCACGGTGACAGTCAATGATGGACGTGTGACACCGTGCTGCGGCCGGGCCGATTGACTCGTACCCACAAACAGAAACAGGTCCTATAGCGATGTTTTCCCTGTGCCTGATATACACTTATTGCATTATCTGTGACCCAGCCGTGTTTTGAAGTGTGGCTCGTGTCTGTATTCTGTGTTAGTCTAAGCTTCATTTCCCACCGCTGTTTCGCCGTGGTGTTTTACATCTGACACTCCCAGCTGGCCTACCCAAAACTCGTTAAATGGCTGAATGAGCAGATTTAGTCTCAGCAGTTTTTTGCCAACTTGACAAAAAGGAACCATTTTGCTGGCCTAATGGCATGCCTAACCAAATCACTCTCGGCAATAGCAAATTGAGTTTGCAGAACTCAATTTCCGTTCTTCCGTCCTTTGAGCTTTGCGTAAGATCCATCCTCTAAAGCACTTATGTTTCCCGGTGGCGTGTCATTTTCATTGTGCCCGCGGAGCGAGCGCTGCGTAGTCGAAGGAGCGGTGGCAACAGCTGCCACGTCCGCTCCCGTCCGTCTCTGGCCGCCTCCGATCGTCTCCCGTCCGTCTGCGGCCGCCTCCGATCGTCTCCCGTCCGTCTGCGGCCGTCTCCCGTCTCCGTCCGTCCCTGCCCGTCTCCGTCCGTCCGTCTCTGTCCGTCCCGTCCGTCTGTCACCGTCCTCCTCTTCTGTCTCTCCCCGTTTCCATCCGCCCATTCCCCTTCCGTGTGCCCCTGCCCTTCTTATCTGTCCATGTCCGTCCCGTCTGCCCCCCCCCCCTGCCCCTTTCGTCCGTCCTTGCCCGTTCCGTCTGTCCCTGCCCGTCCCTAACCCCTTTTGCCGCCATCCTTCCGTCACACCCGTGTGCTCTGTGCCCTGCAGGGCGCAGTGTCTGCGGATCTCAGACGACCGTCTCTCAGTGACGGGCGACAAGGGCTACTGCATGGTGCGCGCCACCCACTGCGTGCGCCGCGGTACCTGGTACTGGGAGGCGACCATCACTGCCCAGCCGGAGGGCGCCCACTGCCGCATCGGCTGGGGCGGACCGCTGGCCAACCTGAACGCGCCGCTCGGATACGACAAGTTCGGATACTCGTGGCGCAGCAGGTACATAGGCGCGCGTGAGCTGTGTGGGCTGGGTGAGCTGGGTATGGCGTGCTCTGTATGCATTTGTGTGCAGTGGATACTGGATAGTGTACGGACTCCACAGTATTTGCCGCGTTTTTTTTTTTTTTACTTTGGCGCTCCCAGCTATCCTAACCAAAACTTTAAATGGCTTCCCAAAACTCGACTACTTTGGGTCACGTGTCTAGGATCTTATGGTCGACGTTTTTTCGTGTTCTCGATGGTGGTTTGCCGTCTGCTCTGCTGCCGTCTGTGGGACCAGAGCGGGGAGGGTGGACAGTGGCTCCTGTGGCTGTGCCGCGGCCCTCACAGAGCGCCCTGTCTCTGGTCAGGAAGGGGACCGTGTTCCACGAGGCCCGCGGCCGTCACCTGAGTCCCGGCTACCAGCAGGGCGACGTGCTGGGCATTCTGATCCACCTGCCCGAGGCGGCCATCCCGGCGCGGCTGCCCGACAGCTACAAAGACAAGGTGGGTATCGGGTCTTTGGATGGGAACATGGTGGTTAAAGGTTAACGCACAAGTAATCCATTCTAAACGGAGTGAATGTAGTGGCTGCTCCAGAGAGCCGAAATGACACCGATGTGTTTCTCCAGCCTCTGATCAAGTCCAAGTCGCACCTGTACTTTGAGGACAAGGACGACGTGGCGGGCACGCTGGAGCGACTCAAACCTGTCGCGGGCGCCTACATCGCCTTCTACAAGAACGGCAAGCTGCAGGGCCAGACGTTCCACAACCTGTACGGGTGAGTGGCTGCTGCCGGGCGGTGGTGTGCAGGCCTGGTGCTCGCGGGCGCCGCGGCGGGCGGGGCCAGGGAATGAGGTCATTAACTGCCCCCAGAGACGGTAGCTTATCTCGGGGATAGTGGCAGCTGGTTCTAGGAGTGGCGGTAATTGATCCAGGGAATAGAATTAAATGGTCTCTGAGACATCTGGCAGCTGGAGTCCTGCCGGTAAGGCCTTGTTCAAAATTATTCAACAAGCAGGGCTCGACAAACATTTTGGGTACTAATTGTTGACGTACTAAGGACAAATCATTTTCTCTCATTAGTTACACGCTACTAAACAAAAATAAACCGCAGACCAATAGGGCTGATATCCCAGCACGATAACATCCATGTGCTCATTATTTCGTTTCATTTAACACTCTCGCGCCGTTTCCAGCTGGACCCCTCCCTGTTCGCTGCGAGTTGCGACCCACGACTCGGTCTCCGGCGCGGTGCCGATCTGATCGCGGTGTCGCCCCCCTGTGCTGCTGACAGGTCCGACTATTACCCAGCCGTGTCTGTGTACCGCGGTATCACCGTCACCGTCAACTTCGGCCCCGCATTCAAACACCCGCCGCGAGACGTCGCCTTCCGAGCGGTAAGTGACGAGCGAGGGACGCGCTCTTGTGGGAGCGGTAGATGAAGATTCCCCTTCCATTGACCACTGAAGGACGCGCTCGTGTGGGAACGGTAGATGGAGGTGTCCCCTTCCCAGCGACGACTGAAGACGCGCGCTTGTGGGAGCGGTACCTGAGATAGCTGGAGATGTCCCGATGTCCCCTTCCCATTAACCAGTGTAGTGTGGGCTCCTGTGGGTACCGGTCACTGGCTGAAGCGAAAGGGAGGAAATTGACATGCCCAGTGTTAACGGATGGGAGAGGGGATGAGGGGAAGAGAGAGACAGACAGACAGACAGACAGACAGACAGACAGACAGACAGACAGACAGACAGACAGACAGACAGACAGACAGAGACAGACAGACAGACAGACAGACAGACAGACAGAGATTTCTTACTCGTGAGCGTAGATAAAGACATTACATTTCTTTTATTCCGTTCAGAGAAAGTATTCAGCTGTAAAGAATGTTGCTCAAGATATTGCTAATATCCGATGGGCGCCGTTCAAATGAAGACAGTTTTTTTTTCGCTGCAAAAAAAGGCGTTGTGTCGTGGAGGGGACATCCAATTAGCTCTTTTCTGCGCTACTCTGTTGCAGAACACTCACCTAATTACGGCCAATATGTACGACGTTATTTGCTTTTCGTTAGCTGCTTGTTGTGTCTTGACGCAACGGTGCGTTGTTGCTTGCGTAGTGTGTCTGATAGTTTGCCGGTGTTCGAGCCGGCTGATGCCAGTTAAGTCTCGGCTTTAGGCCTGCGAACAAATCACCCCAAGGGCCATGCATGTGTTTCAAACCATTGTTAATTATCTGGACAAATAGCGTCGCACATAGCGACAGTAATGAAACGAATGTTTTACAACATAGCACCAGAGAAAAAGAGCATGTTGGGTGTTCAGTCTACAAATTAAGTGATCTCGTTGAGAATAAGAATGTGCCTTTAATTTATCAAGCTGTAGAATTTCAAGTATTAAATGGCGTCGGGCCCTATGTGATAAATGCGAAGCTTTAGCAATTACTTGTCTGTCATGCAAGAGTGATTCAAAGCTTTTTCGTCTGGCGGGTAGTGTAACTGTTTTATTCCTTGGCGGTGTACACGACTATTTTGCGTTGAAAAGTGTAAAAATCATGGGTTTAGTTAGTAGTTAATGAGAAAATGTGTATTTATTTATACGTCCATGTTAGAAATGATGCCACCAAATGACGTCACCAGAGCCACTCAGAGTTTATCATAGGGTTTATGGTGAACAAACCAGTTATCCACTGGATGAATAAATCTTCAGCTCGCCATAACACACGCTTTCGCGCCGTGGAAGAAGATTCATTCTCACGTATCGTCAACAATAACAAGAAGCGACCAGTATTTATCCTCTAGGTCGAAACCCAGTGAAAGAATATTCAACGAGTTCCAACATTTCTGTATTCAGTAATGCATTTTACTGGACGCTCGCAACTTCAATAACTAAATTATTGGCATTCAATGTTTGAGTGCCTGGATCTCCGCGTTATGGAGCGCCTGAAAGTTCCTGCAGCTTTATTGTCTTAACTTTCTTCAATGTAACCTGATGCAAAGGGAGGCTCTGAACTGGTGTCCTCAGGGCTTTCTCGAATAGAGCGAAGGAAACTTTTCGATATTGTGATGCCGTTTTATTTTCTAAGCCGGTAAATGTATCCTTATAGGCCAAACAGCGGTCAAATTGTATGCCAAAATCACCGGTTTTAACATTGTTGGGTTGTGTTAGTGTGCAACTGCCCTGTAAAAAGCTGCAATGATGTGGTTTGGGGCTGTCGTGTAGGTACCGTCATTTAACCTGCGCCCTGATGGGGGGGGGGCTATTTTGCCCCCTCCCCTCCAGACTTTTCAATATATCTCCAGAATCGCGGCGCCGATCGTCAACAAACTTTCAGTACCCTCCCGGGCATCAATTTTACACATTGTGTCCAAAAAACTCCAAAGGCTAGGATAGGTTGTCCGCAAATGACGTCAGAGTGACGTCATGTTCTGCCGTTTTCGGCCCAAAAGAAGGTTTCGCGGGAAGAGCTGTCAGGCCTATAGCTTTGAAGATACAGAAAAACGTTCAAGACATAAAAGGTGTAGAATTATTAGGGCTACAAAACTGCTATCTCGAAATTTTTAATTTTTCGAATATTGATCTCCAATTATAAAAAATGAATATAATTACCGACAAATCCTTTTTTCGATTTTTCGTTTTTCGATTTTCGAAAGAAAAAAAAAACGGAATATATGTGATAGCCCCTACCAACTCCTATTCACATACCAAATTTTAGATCGATAACTCTTTGGCCAAGTTATAGCGAAAAAAATGTTCAAAATTGATGACGTTAAATTTTCAACTCAATTTTTAGCCATTCTCGACCACGTAGCGCAAAACAAAGACCACCATTAGACTCGCCGTGACGAGCTGCATCGATTCCATACCCATTTTATGCAAATATATCAACTTTAAAGTTTGACCTTTTTTGACCTGACATTGACCTGACCTCCACCAGGAAGTGACCTAAGCCGTTCCTGGTGTTCTTATAACCAACATCATTTAGTAAAAATGAAAAAATAGCCATAAAACATGCATCACACAGCCCTAGTGAAATTGGAATAATGTGCTGACTCTTGGTAATGGTGACCTGACCTGTTGTGACCAGACCTGGTATTATCAGTGACCTCTAATAGCAACATATGTACTAAGCAACTGACGCCCAATCGCTGATTTTCGATAAAATGCGTTTTACTCGATGTTATAGCGCATTCACTAGAAGACCCGTGACCGGCAAAGCATTTTATCTTCGACCTGACCTGTGACGTCATCGGTGAACCCGAGGGCAATGAAATTGGATTTCCTTCGACAAATTTGACAAGGCTTTCGAACGCCGTTTGAATTTAACCACGTCATGGTAAGACCATGTTAGTTTAAGGGACCGTTTACAAATGGAAGGCTTAGGAACAGCCAACTCGGATAGGCGATTGATATATTCTTATGACATCCCTTACGCTCTATACCACCACCGTTTTCCCAGATTGAATTGGGTATGTTTGCGATGCGTGGTTGCCGGTTCATTTGATCTTCTAGCTATACTTGTCTAATTATCATAATAACCACTGAGAGTTCACAAATAACCGCCGCGACGTTCCGAGTGATGGGTCGCGCGATGGAGCCGGCCGCGTGGCCTTATCGTGCTCGCAGGGGCAGTAGAGGTCGGTCCTGAGGTGCTGAGGACATGCGTCGCATCCAGTGTCTCCAACAGCCACACGATGAGCGGCAGGTCATACAGCATTCACCCGCCTGGGTCACTTTAGTTCAGGTCATCAGGTCATTTTAAGCGACCTTAATTCAAAGGACATGGCTAGCAACACCGACTGAACGATTGCTTTGAAACTTTCACTTACTGATAAGGGTGACAGGATATATATTATATAAGCTCATCTCGTATTTTCGACACCTGACTGGTAAAAATAAATAGAAGTAACCTTTATTTGTTCACCTATGCAGTTAAATGTATGATTTAGCCATGTTTGTCCAATGTGCCATCAGCGCAGATCACGATTATGTTTTCTGATTGATGCAATTTCCATTCAGATGAAAAATAAATACATAGCAAAAGGTATTGGAATTTGGAGCAGAGGGGTCGACGTTGCCTTTTGCCCTTGGGCGACTCGTAAGCTGACGAGCAGAGGACCAGCCGCCTACCCATGTCTTTCATCTGGCTAGAAATAGATCACGTACAGTCCACAGCAGAAGTAATGTGTGGTTTCAGTCATGGGTATGTTCTGCTTCTGAAGCCTAGGAACGATTAGCCAGACTGCAACGAGACTTTAAATGTAGCTTACATGTATCTTCACCCTTGCAGCTACAACTTTGACGTCTTCTTTTTAATCAGTCCGCATTTAAAAATCGTCGGTCAAAACCATCCGTTGAGATTGGTAAAAACACACATTACTTTAGCGGTGGGCTGTACCTACAGTGCCGTATCTGCTGATGTTTTCCCTGCCGGTGGATGCGAATAGATCAATCCTAGGGGACTTAGGCCGTTATCAATCAGTTGATTGGCACGGGCCGCACTGCCGTTAGTGCGTTGGTGTTGTTTGAGCTGCTCGCTGCTGTGTGTACCTGCAGGTCGGGCCGCGGGCCGTACCTACCGCCGGCAGGTGGACGGCCGGCCGGGCCCGCCTGCCGGCTCATCCGGCTAAGGTCGTGTTTGACATTATACCAACAGCGCCGCCAGATGATCCTCCGTGGCAAACCGGCCACAACATTATCGCTGATTGCTTGAAGCTTGACATTCGTACGATATCTTTAGTAATTGTATTGGACTGCTACGCAAAAGCATTGCTCTTGAACCGGAATGCCAAAGCAGTTGCCTAACTAATAAAATGCGCAGTGAAAGAGGTAGCGGCTGATTTCGTCGAACATCCGACGCTGCTAGATTGATGATTTCCTTGGTCTATTAGAAAGCCATCCGAGTTGCACGTAGCAGCCCACGGGAACAATGAACAGCTTGTGGTTATTTCGGTCGCTCCCCACCCCGGCGTGACTGTTGCTCTCTCTCTCCGTCCCCCGGGCAGGTATATGAGCGCGCGGAGGAGCACGCCGTACAGCAGGCGCTCTCGGACGTCGCCTGGCTCACCGAACACGAGGGCAAGCTGAGCATCGACCTGTGAGCGGGCGGCGCGCCGCGGCGGCAGAGGTCAGCCCAACATTGGCGGCGGGAAGGTCAGCCAGACACCGGAGAGACAGCGGTCAGCGGTGGGAGGACAGCCCGACATCCGGGGAGGGGCGGGGTCCGACTATGGAGCCCGGATAGGGCGCCTCCAGATCAGGTGGTGCCGCAGATATCGAGCTAAATTAGAGCGCGTTCTTCTCCTGACCCTGGGAAGATTGAAAGGTGATGATGCGAATAAAACTCTCAGTTGATCCACAGTGAAATATGAGGTCGAATATTTTGACAAAACCTAGAGTGAACGTTAAAATATTGGAGACTATCTTCTCAATTCAGTTACTGGGTGTTCTTGCTTGCGATGGGTATCAGGCGCTAGGTAAAAAAGAGAGATTAAAACACTCTTTTGCTACAGCGTGATTCATTTTATGCTGGTATGACAAAGTCATACCTATACAGTAAGGGACTATGCAGTGCACCCTACTTTTGTTCGGACGTTTGTAACTTCTAAATAGTTAGAGATGCGGTGAAACTCTGAACTCCATTGTGAAGCGGCAAAGCGCTGGTTATTGTAAATGCACACTGAAATGTAAGTTGTAACTGTCATGTGTCCACAGTACTTGTATATCATCATCAGCCCATTATTGAGTGAATAAAACGCGTTTACTTTGCTATCATGTCATATCGATTGATTTTTTTTAATGCTTAGGGCGAGGGCGACCGTAAGGGTTTTATCGGGAATATCACTAACTGCTCCATTGCCGCATCATTTTTTTTTTTTTTACTGGATTTGATGTAATGAGTAGCTATTGAATTCAACAGCGAAAAAAGTAGACGTGCTCCACGCTCTCAAAAGGTGCTCGTCGTCTTCCTAAGTTCCTAAGTTAATAAGCAAGCGTCAGACGTGTCGTAAGCGGTATGTGCGATTCAAATCAATCATTGTAATGCCTTTCTTACACGGATGTGATGATAACTGTCAAAGTTGAGTATCTACAGCAGTAACGATCTTGCACCATCTGAGATGTGAGTTGTGACCACATAAGTTTTTCTTTTTTTTCTTTTTGGGTAAAGTAACGTTTCAGCCTGCGAGTATTTCCTGTCGCGTCCGGCTGAGGAGGGGAGATAAGAAGGGCCTACAATGGCGTGTGTATTGACTGCATCCTGATTGTGGGTTTCTGGGTAACAATCTGCTGAAACGCGAGGATGCCACTGAGGCCGTCTTCTGCCGCCGGCGGGCCGCGATGCCGCCGGCACACTGCGCGCTATTCTTGAGCGTCTTGCTGTGAACTGAACCGTGCCAATCCATTACCAAGGCCGGGCTTCTGACGGCCTTACCCGCCGGCCGACCCGCCCTCCTCCCCCCCCCCCCCGCTCTGATGGAGAACGCCACCCAGGCACCCGACATTGGCGGCGCCTGAGTGCTGAATTTTGGCCGGGGACCTTTGGTCAGGTGCTACGTGTAGGGCCAATTGGTAATGAAAAGCTGACTTTTAGAAAGGTAAAAAAGAGAGTATCTTTTTATCTTTTTTAATGCATCATAGCATGATGGTAAGCTTTTTTATTGTCTTTATTAATTTCATCACGGGACTAAAAGTCGCGCTATTTACGAGCGAGTGAGCGCAGCGAGCGAACTAAAAGTCGCGCTATTATTTAGGATGTCAACACTGCTTTAATTAAAGCTCGATCAGATCATTGCCTGTTCCGGGAGTTACAGCAGCCGGCGTCAGGCGTTGTGCGCTACGGCAAATATTACTTTGGCCGACAGGCTGTCCAATTAAATCGGTGCGTCATTGTGGAATGGGGGTTCCGATATAAATTCAGCCCACTTAGCGTAGACGTTCCACTAGCAGATTGTTCCCTGGTTGAACCTAAAGCGCCGGCTGTTTTCTGGAAACGTATTAGAGCATGTGTACAACATTCAGCTTTATGTATTTAAATGAGATGTCAGGTGCCCCGGCGACTCGGCGAGTGCGTGGTGTATGATGCGCGACTACCAGGCTGCATGGTCGTTGCTGAACGAGACATGACACGCAGCAATTATGCAAATTGCGGAAAAGATGGTTGAATTTACAACTTTAATGTGACGTAAATGTGACAGGGTGTTCGTCTGCTGCTCGTGCACGGAGTTGTACGCTGAAATTTATTCATAAGTAATGTCTTCCACATTTGATTGAGTGAAATAATCTGCAAAATTTATGTAATATGGTGCCTTCCGATCTTTATAATGACCAACATCTTCTTTGTACACTGTACAGTGTGTTTCGGTGTGTTATTGAACACATCGACATACCCACCGAACTGTTGATCGCGTCACATACTTCCTAGTGCTTGGTAACACCGCCACCGCCGCCGCCGCTGCCTCATTCCCCACCGGCAGATTCTCGTCGTATCGTCATCACCGTCGTCACCGGCGCCTCGATCGTCAATCAATACTACAGACAATCCTATTGTCGTTCCCGTGATATGTGATCGTGAATACATCGGGCTCGGCCAGCGGTACGCGAAAAGATGTTTGTGCTTGCGGTCAAATATTCATATGGCAGCCACCAATATCCGTTAGGTACTCCTTTTTGGGTTGTAACTTAGGCCGCCGTAGTGCCCCTAACTTTTGGCACATCGTGATTCGACAAGGCGGAGGCTGCTTTACTGACTGACTTGGCAGCCGTGACCTTTCGTGCCGCCCGACAGCCGCGGTCGGGCAGGTCAGCCTTCCCCATCGTCATCTGATCCTCCCTGAGACTCTGCGTCTGCGCTATCCTAGACACTGCACTAGAACAATGAAAAACCACTGCGGGATTGAATTATCCACTATAGGGTCGTTAGGCGCTCCGCAGCTGGTGCCGGACATTCCGCGCTGTTGGTGCAAATGACACTCGAAGTTTTTACTGATCAGCAAAACATGGTGATTTGATCTTCGGTCCTAACCATGGCCAGAGCAGCGTAATTCGTGTTTGTTGTCCGGTGACGCTCACGGCGCTGCCGATGTCGCCCTCGGCGCCTAAGGATGTCAAGTCGTCCTTTGTACCTGCGTCCGCTCTGACTCGGCTGCCGTGTCTTTGATGTCGGACAGTGCCTTTCCGCAGCGCGTTACTGTCGGTCCGCCAGAGCCCAAAGGCTTTGCGTTCGACGGCACACAAGGGCCGCTACTCCAATGAGCGGCCGTCCGGCGCAAACGCGCCGACCGGACCGACCCCGGCACGGACGGAAACTGGGGCTGCTTCCGAGAGGATCGACCCGCTCCTTCCGCACCCTCTATCCTCCTCCGTCTCTCTCTCTCTCTCTCTCTCTCTCTCTCTCTCTCTCTCTCTCTCTCTCTCTCTCTCTCTCTCTCTCTCTCTCTCTCTCTCTCTCTCTCTCTCTCTCTCTCTCTCTCTCTCTCTCTCTCTCTCTCTCTCTCTCTCTCTCTCTCTCTCTCTTTCTCTCTCTCTCTCTCTCTCTCTCTCTCTCTCTCTCTCTCTCTCTCTCTCTCTCTCTCTCTCTCTCTCTCGCTCTCGCTCTCGCTCTCTCTCTCTCGCTCTTTCTTCCCCTCTCCTCTTTCATTCTCACTTTCTATCTCTCGGCGGTCTCTCGACTTTTAATTTCCAGGCAGGGCCTCACGACCTGTTTTTACTTTCCGCTGGTGTTTGTCGCTGCAATTGAAGACAAAGCACTCAGGCTCGCCGAGATTTCCGCCTCTCTGTTTTTAATAAACTCCTTTGGTCTCGCCTTGCCCGGTCTTTATCTATTGTCATCTTTTATAAATGTTCTTAAGAAGTAGTGTCACGTAGTTGATGAAGACTTAGCAGCCCTACAGAGTCCGGAGCAGCCGACGTTCGGTCTTTGAATAGCCAAACTCAATGGAACAACTGAGTACCTGAATGCTCATCCTGCTTAGGGGGGCCGAGCCGACATCATAAGCGGGCCAGACAAGTGCATGCATTAACCCGCGCCCGGCTGGGGGTCCTGGATTTCCACGCCCTGCTGGGGGGGGGGGTGTTTGAACACCCCCCCCCCCCACCCCCACCCTCTTCTAACTCGGCTCCTGGGCCACGTAGCGATACGCGGAAGGCGGCATTCGAAAGAGCGTCAAAAATAATGACGAAATCACTTTGGTCAATTTTTTGGTCAGGTCAAAGGTCAGGTCACCGAGGTCATTGAAGGCAAAATTTTGCCGATTTCCAGGTCGAATGTCGACAATTTCTAAGAAGCCAACGCATAACTCGGGAAGCAATAGAGCTACAGCGCCGCGGAAAAGCGCATTCGATAGCCCTATTAACGCCCTTTCTGAGTAACTCTCTCAGATTTGACCTATCGTCAACGGTTTTGCCTGCAGGGGGCAAAAACTGCAAAAATAGCCTATTTTTTTCGGAAACAGTATCTCTGCAATAACTTTTGGCCCAAGCCTTGTACCAGCTTACTTTTACCGGCATCATGTTCCTCTCGTCTAGTCGTGGTACGATCACACTTTCAGAAAATGTCTTGAAAATTCCTCCTTCGCCTCTTCGAAATGATAACCTCGCTTGACTTGCTATACATTTCCGTCACACGAGTCTCCACTTGAATGGAGAATCGGCAGCCTTGCACCTCCACGCCGACTCCTACATCATCAGTGACCTCCAGGCTGGGTTGTCCGTTTCTCGTGACCGTGCCTTATGGCGTTAGCGGCTCTTTGTCGTTGGGTCCAGAGTGGGGTCGCAGCAGACGGGAGCGTACGGCGGTGCTAGGGCGTAGGTATATACAGTGGTCAATTCGAGGCGGTACGGCGGTCAGTTCCAGGCGCTGGCGGCGCCGCGGCCGTGTCGGTGTGGGGCTATCCCATCCACCCGCGCCAGTGCAGCGCCGCACAGTCTCCTGGGCGGGGCGGAACGGTGGCGCAGACAGCTCCTCCCCCTCCCCCTGGCGTGCGGTGATGAGCTCCGGGCCCCCTTCCCCCCTCGGTGACCGGAACGGTCGGCCGGCGCGGTCTGGAGGCCGAGAGGAGCAGCCCGCAGGGCGGGAGGAAACGAGCGGCTCAGAGCGGCGCGGCCCGGCCTTGACCGCCGCCCAGCCTGCCCCACTACGGCGGTGTCAGCTGCGCCTGGGGTGTCGTCCTATCCGCTCAGCGGATTTTTACCCGTGCTATGCCCAAGCAATTTAGTTAACTAGTGATGAAGACACTGGAAAAAGCGTAACGGCAAAGTTATAGTCGTCGCTTGAAATTACTTTAACAAACTGCGTGGTAGGTATTCTTTTCTCGACAAAGCCGAGAATAACGCGAATACTATGCTATCGGTCTCTCAGAAATCGATCAGCAAGACGCGCCAGACTCCGCGCCTTAGATTGGCATTTTCATCCTTCAATTTTCCATCCAGTTTGGCAAATAAACCCAAAAGTTTATATTTGCCCCACAAACAAACTTTTGCATTTTTTTGCCACACATGGAGTATACTTTGTTCAGTGATAGACCCAATCGAAGGAGTGGAGCATGGCGCATCTATTTGCAGTGAGTTTCGACCGTCTGATAACATAGCCTTTGAGCTATTATCGCTTTTGTCGAAAAAAGTAATAGGTACCTACCACGCAGTCTGCTGAGGGCTGTTACATACTACATATGACTTGTAACCTGAAATGTCCTTCCATTGTGCATTGTGGATCGATACAAATTGAATAGTTTATTAGCCCAGTAGGGGAGAGTGGTGATAACTGGGACGCGGGA